ATATATATATATATATATATATATAATTTACAAAAATAAAAATAATGCATGCATAAACAAAATATGTATTTGTACTATTCAAGAATACAAAGTAGGTACTTATGTTTTATAGTATAGATTGATAGTGGCAAAAGGTATAGGTAATTTATATGCAACAGATTCATAATTAGTTCGACTCTATTTAAATGAAATGAAAATAAACAAATGAATAAACAATACAAATAAATAGATCAACAACGAGCAAAACCATTAAACAAACCTAGGGGATGTATGTTGCGTTACATCATTTACCGCTAATGATGATGCATTAGAGTTGTTATCACTCTCATTCTCATTACTTTTAGTAATATTATTACTGCTATTGTTATCATTTTGATAAGATGTCGCTGATGCAGTATCTGCTGCACTGAGCGGTGATAACAGTAATGTTGAAGAACATGATCTTGTGATATTGTTATCATTGAGAGTATTTATGGTGCCATTAATTGAACTATTATTCCGAGTTAACGTGCTTGACGCACTTGTTGTTGAGATTAAACAAGACGAAGGACTCATGCTAGTCTCCAAATTTGTTGATGAACAACTCGATTGCTGTTGCAGACCTGAGAGGGCAGCTAGCTGCGACATATACAATGCACGAAGTGAGTTATTTGCTGCTAATGTCTGCAAATGATTCATTCACTATCACAATTAATATCTAGAAACATGCGATAAGTGAACATGAATCTTCAAGTATACTATGAAGATTAGAGCAACAAATAAATTCTTACTGGATCTAATGAAGCAAGCATAAGTTGTTGTACATCAAATGGATTACTACTGTTGCTGTTCATAGCCACTGGTGATGTCTGCTGTTGTGTTGCCAGTAAAGGCGATAATGATGCCAAATTTAAATTATTGTTCAATGCTGCTGCTCTTTGGCCTGATGCTGAACTCGAAGATGGCGATGTGAATGAGCATGATGACGACGATGAACTCTGACCACCAACTGCTGCTGCATTTGTACCCGTTACGCCAGATGACATCATGCCCGCTGTTGCTGTTGCCACGGCCGCCGATCCTGATGATCCAGAACCTAGCATAATCCAGAGAATTAACATTATCCATACAAGATGCAATGCTTGGAACAGTGATGCTATTTCAAATATTCTCATTTTGAAAAAAAAAACAATTGCAGAAGTTATTAACTATTTGCACGATTACTAGAGATGCCTCCTGGAATTGACGATGCAGAAGCAATACACTGTTGCTGCTGAGCTGAGGATATTCCGTGTTTGGTTGCGCGGTGTGTTTGTAGATAATATTTATTGCAAAATTCTTTCTGAAATTATTTTCATCCGATCACAATACAGCATATCAATTGTTCATAAATAAGGATGTTTGAGAAAGACGACGAAGCAAGACTTGAATGCTGAGGTTCTTTATCCGTACACATTTAATTGTATATTTGCAAATAGTAAAGAACATAATGAACAGCTTCGTTTATTTGCAAATGTATGCTCAACTTACTCAACTCGCTTCATTTCACAAGTACTCGAAACAATTAACAGTATTACCATTATCAACATTTAACAGATGAAGTTCATTCCAAATAATAACAACTATAACTCGCATAAGCCTCAAGTTTGCGTGCATCAAACTTTACTCATTTGCTAGTGACATTCGATTATATTTAAACTCGAGTTATTGGCTGATAATACTTTTCTCATAATAATACTTTTATAACAATAATACTTTTATTCAGTGATTCCAAAAATTTTTCTTTTTTAGTTTACGATCATAAAACATCTTTCAAACATTCTTCCACATTTGTTTCATTCACTCAAATCAATTATTGAAAGGTGCAATAGATAGATAAAGACAAGTAGACATATAGAGATAACTAGAACTAGAAGATGCAGAAAAGAGAAAAAGAAAGAGATATTCATAAACAAACACAAATAAGGGCAAAAACGATTACAATGAAGTAATCGAAATTATCGCCTTAACACTAATTGTAATTAATAATTACTCATTATAATTTCATTTAGTAGGTATTAATCAAAACAACAACTGTAACATTTTAATCACTTTCATCATCGGCATTATTATCCTTAGCGTGAATAACATTACTAGTCCTATTCCTATTATTGGCGTTATTACAACTATTTTCATTATTGTTTGCTATTCTCTAAAATTTAAATAACGTTCCAAAAATTTTTTCAACAAAGTCTACAATACGAACAAATATTTACTCAGTACACTGATTGCTCCACCTTATCCTCATCCTCATCGTTCTCCTTCCCACCTCAACAAAACGTTATCAAATTCCAAACTAATAATGAATAGCATGCGAAACATTTTTTCATTTCATTTTAGAACAAACAACAAAATTTCGATTCTTTTTGTCTATACAATACTATTCAAATTTTGTTGTTCACCTCTTACAAGCAACTCTTTGTTTTCAGAACATAAAAAGTATCAACAATCCAACAAAACTAAACAAAAAACAATCACACATCAATCAAGTGTCAATGTAATATCATTGATAAATGTGTGAATGCATAAGTAAATATAATGTGCATATCTAGGTATTACTATAAATTCAACTGAGCACATTTCTGTAATTTGTATGTACAATCTATACTGAAACTAACATTTTTATTAATACTATTGTATAACGTAGTTAACAAATAATCACTAACTTGGAAATAGATATATGTATGAATTCATGGTACTAAATTAGAAATCAGTCTACATAAATTTAAGCCAATGACAGACCTGACAAATTTCACAAAACGCTTCTGGATTAAACACCTTCGCAGACTGCTGTTGTTGTTGTTGTGATTGTGCAATTAGAAGCGGACTTAATGTTCCTGAGAGAGCCTAAAAACACTGAGTAATATTATACGATGCAATATGATACGATAAGCATAATCATGTTTCGCACATTTGTGTTATGATAACGATTATACGTTGGTCATTTCCTCGAAAATTCACGGTTCGTAGAGAGCAACACCAAAAAAGCGATATTGCCAACTGATATTCAAAAACAAAACAAACAACAAAAAAAAATCGACGGTGCGATTGAAATTTCACTGCTCAGAGTTGATTCCTCTACAGTTATTTCCTTCTAGGTGCAATAAATGTTATGAATACAAATAAATACGTACATATGTAACAATACTTATGAATGACTAAAACAAACAATATAAATTAATATTACAAATGAATGATTACGTACAAGTTTATGAGCAAAATGTTTTATTATTCGTTTCTATTGCACTAAAATTACTGAAAAAAAATTAAGAAATTTTGAAGTATTTTTATGGCAGATAGCTTGCTTATCAAAGCGCTTACTGCTGCTGTTTCTACTTATCATTTTATTACAGTAATAATTATGACAAAAGCTCACAATATATTCATGTACCATCTCATAGATTAAGATGATAAAAAGAAAAGAAAAAAGTCTACCAACGAACACGAGAGAGAGAAAAACGCAATGGTAATGATGATAAGATAATGACAACGAATAGCAACAATCAGAGGTATTTTTGCTTACCTATGATAATAATAAAATAATAGTGATGATAAGAAAACTCATGGCAAATGAAATGATCATTATTATGATAATGATGTCAACAGCGAGAGCCGGTGAAGATAGTGATATTGAACAAACAGAACTGAACAAATGAAAACGGATCAAGAAATCGAGATGAACAGATAGATAATGATATATTAATAAATTTTAGATAGTAAATAGAACAGGGATGCAGCATGAAAGGAGAAAAGTGAAAAATTCTATACTACTTCTTACTTTATATTGGTTTGTTAAATGTTAATTCAATGAAAATGAAAAAAAAAACAAAAATTCTAGAACAAGTGCAAGTGCAAAAATTTGCAGCAGCAGCAATGCTGTTGCTGCCATTATTACAATTGAACGGATGAATGAATTCACGTGAGATGAAGAGATGGCTCGCAAAAAAACAAACAATAACGATGCAAAAATGAATTAATCGCATCATTATTACGATTACTACAAGTAGTTATTGTTATTGCTGATGCTACGACGCATTGTTGCAATTAGTAACAGCGATAATAAAACAAAACATATTAAACGATGCAATAATAATAACAACATTAATAACAATAATAATACTAATAATAATTGCAGGTACTCAGCCATAAGTCAAATTATAACCAGCTGGCTCAACGTCAGTAACATTAATGATACTGATACATCACATTCGGATCCTAACGAATGTTTTCCTCATAAATGGGACTCGAACCCACGACGTCGTACCGAATGCCTTCATTCAAGGAACGTTTTATTCAAAACCGAACGGACTTTCACCAGGACGATTGACAACGGTACTAAATAAGAAAAGCGTTAGTTATATGTAATCCATACCACCAATAGTATTTATGACTAGAAGTCCAATTTGATCGATTTCAATCAACCAATCGGGACTATACACAAACTCAGATATAATATATCATCGAATTGAATTTTAGTAATTTGTTCATTTCTGCGATCCTATAAAACCATTTCATTGAATTTAATGGTAAAATGTCATAGATCTGATCACCGTTATTATTTTCGCTACCAACTGAGTACCACACAAGCTCACACAAAACAATCGATCACACAGTTCAATTAAATAAACCTAAACAGTTTTAAATACGTTCATTCATATATACGGTCTGTTGTTGAACAGCAAATATATA